TAACCATCGCAGCAAGATCCATGTCCAAAACTGTACTGTAAGAAACAGTTTAAATGAGAGATGGCCGACTGCCGTTTCAGAAAAAAGGTTTGCATTCGGATCTGGAGGTAACAATAATTTTCTGGAATCTGAGCTACACTGAAATACAACAATGCGATGTCATGGCAATTTGTGTTTAAATATGGAAGCTTTATGACATGTTCTGAATCTTTAATGTTGGTATTTTTCATTGAATATCTTCATTTGGTGTCAAACTTCACATCCCGTTTAAGAGTAAAGAGCTGTGAAGCTTTGCTTTAAGTACCTGTCAAGACAAGAATACTTCTTAGAGTATAACTACAGTAAACAATGACATTCTCCTGCCAAAATATCTCAACCAAGAACTGATTCATTCTCTCCAATAGCAGGCGCATTCATTGGGATATCCTGACAGGAAACTGTGTGACTTTTCTTCATATTTTCTATCACAAACATGTGATAGACTTCTACCACAGTGGTCTCCTTTAGTTCTCCAGATTGGATCCAAGAATATTCTTGAATACTTAGCAATACTTTTTTATATTCCATAACATAGAAAAACAGTTGGTATGGACTATTATAGCTCAAAACCCTTCCCAAGTATCTTTTCAGATTCTCAGAGTAGAGATATAATCATATTGGAAAATGAATGATGCACTTAGTGAACATCAGTGTTCAGCGACAGGCCAATACTTTGCCGTTAACTGCTTTCAAGTCAACTTTGACCTATGGCAACGCTATGAGTAAGAGACTTTCAAGTCACTTTGTTCTCAGTCAAGGAAGCCGTGGCTTGAGTCTGTAAGATTTTATCATGCCTGTTGAGCCTATCCACCTATAATTTGATTTTCCTCATTTCTTACTGCCTTCTACCTTACCAAGCATTACTGTCTTTTCTAGTGAGTCATGTCTTCTCGTGATATGGCCAAAATACGATAGACTCAGTTTAGTTATCTTGGCTGGAAATGGTAACACAAATGTTGTTGAACTGCAACATCGAACAAGTTTCATTAGTGGTAATCTGGCTGTTACTGTTGGCAGTCTCAATTCAGCAATGTCTGAAAGGCTTCACAAATCTTATATCTGACTTAAAACAAGCAAATAAAATCCATATTACTTGTACTCTGGCAAAAATGTATTAGAGCAGAGTCATCCTATTTGGCCCTTTAGGAGAAACATCCATAGTCATGAACAAAATTGTCTCATCATAGACCTTCCATCTTTGGAGGTCTTTCAACAGACATTGTGAAGATGGACCTGAGTAAAATATATTTTTTAATAATAGCTAGAAGGATAATTTCTGAATTAAATGCCATTTTGAAATGTTGGTTCAGTAACACATCAGAGATGAGAAGGGGAGTTGGTAAGAAAAGAGATGCTGGAATGTGAGGAGGGCTAGGTTTCCATGCGAGTCACTCTGAACCCTCAAGACCTTGGCCTGCAGAAGCAGTCAAAAGACAAGATAATGCATTTGCAAACTGAGAAACAATGACTTAGTTGAGAATCTTGCACATGCTCAGAAGGGCAAGAAGTTGGAGTGAGAGGAGGGACAAGAGCTGAGGGTGGAGCTGGAGGTGGAAAGGAGGTGGAACTGGGAGGGGTGAAGAAATGTTAGTGTGGAATGTGTGACTGGTATAAATTCCATTTTCTTTGTTCTCTGTGTTATTTATTTACCGTATTTATATCCTGCCTTTCTCACCTCGGAGGGGATTCAAGGCAGCCTAACACAGGTAGCAATTTGATGCTATATACACCTATATCAAAGAAACAATTACAATTAAAACTAAACAATTAAAATCACCCCAACCAAAACATAATCCAGTGCTGTTCTATAATTTTATAGGCACTTATCGCACTGCTCCAATTACTTGTCAAAAGCTTGGTCCCAAAATTACATCTTAAGTTTTTTCCTGAACATCAGGAGAGAAGGGGCTGATCTGATCTCACTGGGGAGGGAGTTCCATAGCTGAGGGCCACCACTGAGAAGGCCCTGTCTCTCGTCCCTCCCTATTTTTTGTGCCTGAGAAGGAGGTGGGACCGAGAGCAGGGCCTCCCCAGGCGATCTTAATCTCCGAGATGGTTCATAGGGGGAGATACCTGGCAATTACAGAGGGCACCCATGAGTTTTCTGCTGCAGCAATAAAACTTCTGTAATTTATAATCTCCTTGTTTCTGGTCTCAGTTGGGAAACAAGGACAGGAATATTTAAAGGAAGGATGGGCATCTTTCAGATGGGCATCTTTTGGGCCTGGATGGGCATCTTTCGGGACTGTATTAGTTGTTAAATCTTGCATGGCAAGGAACTGCACTAAAGTGACCCTTATAGTCCCCTCCAACTCCATGATTTTGTGAAATTGCCCAGCCAACCACACAGAATAAAGATCTCTTACCAAGGACATTCTCTTCCATCCATTTTGAGGTTAATTAATCTTTTGATCAATCCCGCCCACCATTTTTTGTGGAGACAAGTGACTCTTCATGTGGTTCTATTAATACTTCATAAAGATCCTACTTTGCTAATCTGATATTCTATCATGTTCAGAACAATAAGGTGATCTGTATCCCCACATTTATACTGTGACGTATGCCGAGTGCTTTTACTGAATCGTTTTGTAGTATATTCCCCAGTTCTGCTGATGCCTACTTCTTCTCATATCTCATACCTATAAATGATCCAGCCTGTATCCTTTTGTCACAAAAAGAAAGAAACTAGGCCACAAGTTTAAATTGCTTGGGACTCTATTCCCTTCCCTAAAAAATCCTGGTTGTTTTCATCCATTTCAGTGCCACAGTCAGCTGCTAAGAATATGATTTCTATTCTGTAGCTATCTCCCCACTGCCACCACACTTATTTATAATACAATTGATTTAAATAAGGTAAAACAATTTAAAACAGTAGCAATCATTTATATAGACTAAAAGTGTATTAAGAAAATTAGCAAGTCAGTTTAAAACCACATAGAACAATATTTCACAATTTAAAACCATACACATCTGAAGATTTGGATAAAATCAATTAGTTTCCAGAGGCTTTCATAAAGAACCATCTTGATTCCACTGGAAGGATTCAAATGTCAGCAACAATCACACCTATAAGAGGGAGATTTTCCACCACTGAGATACATCCACAGATCAGACCTCCCATTTCCCCCATCCATGGGACAAAGAAGCCTAGATGAGGCAGATAGTCCTTAGAGATTGCATTTTATCACCAGTACCTTGAGGCCAAATTGGAAGTGTAATGCTAGTCAGTTCAATTCCTTTAACATTGGTGTTATATAGTTTTCATCTAGTGTTCTGTTTAGAAATGAGTGGCACTATCTACAGTTGCCAGATCATCTTAAAAACCAATGCCATGTAGAGCACATTGCCATACTTGAATTGGGAGGTTACCAATGTTTTGGCTACTGTGGCAGTTGTCATTGTCCAGGAAAGAACATAGTTGCCAAACTAGGCAGAACTATTTCTAGGCCATCTGAGAAACAACAAACAAATTTAGGAGGGCTATTCTCCATTTTTTTCTTTTCTTCCTAAGCTTTCTGAGCAGAGTCCTTCTGAACCTTCAGCACCCCCTTTCTCCAAACTTGAGGAAGTGGGATGCAATGCCATACAAGGATTTACCTGATTCTTGAACCCAACAGCCACCAATCCACAGTGCCTCTATCTTAATCAGATTCTGTTTGTGGGTTTTCATTCAGGTCGTTACTTTATCCAGACACTGGTCCAGCATATGCCAAGCTTCAGCTGACCTTGGCCACAAGGAGTAGTATGGCTGTGTGTTGTCAAAATAGTAATGGCACTCAACTTCAAACTCGTACATCTCACCAAGTCACTTCATATAGATACTGAACAGCATGAGAGACAAGAAAAAACCGCTGTGACACTGGATAACTTAATAGTCATGGTATTGAACACAAGTTCTCTAATACCACTCTCTAGGGACACTTTCAGACATAAGGAAAAACCAAGCAGAAACAGGTTTAAATAACCCATTTCCACTTGATTTGGTATTCACACCCCCAATCCAAAACCCGGGCTTTCTCTTGGGAGGTGGCTACATGACAATCCAGATCAAAGGCTGACCTGGGATGCCATCCAGCCTCCCCACCTCCACATTTGGGTCCAAAAACTTACTAGAGATGGCCTGGCAGCCATGGAACCTCTCCAAAGAGTCCTCCTGAGTTGAGGAAATGGAGCATCAGGAGGTGGGAGAAGGGAGCCCAAAAGTCCAAGATGGCTGTGTAGATTGACCCCTGAGATCGAGTGACGCGGTCCTGACAGTCAATCCACACAGGGCCAAAAGCTGGTAAGATTCAGACCTTAGCTTAAGGTCTGAATTTTGACAGGTGTTTAATTATTGCAGAGTAAACTGTAAACCCTGGTTATTCCACATTAATTCGCTTGTATGATTGAACCTCAGTAAAAGCGAGGCAGGTCTCACATTAAAGGCCTGTCTGGAAGAGACCTAGGACTGACTTTACTAGTAAGAGGAAAACTACTTCCTTCTCCTATCAGATACAGTTGGTTCAGAGACCACGATCAATGATATTGAAAATGCTTGAGAGTCAGAAAGCACTCTTGTCTTTCAGCTGAAATGGATGAGTCAGGACAACCAAAACCATTTCAGTACAGTTCCCTGGCCTGAAGTCAAGCTGATATAGGTCTAAACCACTGCTGTCTTTTGAGAACAGGTGAGCAAATTTTAATTTATACTGCCTTGCAAACTAATTATAATTTATACTGCCTTGCAAAAAGGAGTTGGCAGTAAACAACTGTCAGTCTAAAACAAAATGAAACGAACCATCATACAATAGAATCCAGTTTAAAATTAGTTCGATTCTAACCAATTTTCATTTTTTTCATACCTTCTGTAAAATTTAGGCAAATGATACCTTAAATTCATGAGGCAAAGAGAGTTAGACATGCTATTTAAATAACAAGACTCTTACAAAGTTGAAAAAAAATCACAACACGACAGAATAAGCTAGTGTTAGGCAAGAGTATATTTATTTTATTAACTTGTTTAAACCACTATTCATCCTTCCAGGTACTGCATACACATTATACAAAGATGATTAACAGAATACATAACACAATAAAGAGGAGAAAGGGCTGCAAACACAACAAAAAGAGTGCCAAAGACTTATGGGGAAGGAAGGAGCAGAAATGAATCCAAGGGCCCTTTTACAAAGTCTCAAAAACCTGTGATGGGTCACGGATTTATCTGAGGCATCCAAACGACACTTCAGTTAACCTGGATTCCAGAGTAAACTGGAGTTTTCCAGTTTACTCTGAATTAATAGTACACCTCAAGAGATCTGGACCTTACTGAAAGGCCCACCCTCTCCTCACAGCTCCCCATTTAGCCCCAAAACGTACATGAGGGATCCCTCCTCCCTACCCCTCCTGATACATTATTTTGATGCCCAGGAGGTTTTGTCTGAGTTTTTTTTTAAGTTTTGAGGCTAAATAGGGGGCTCGCTGGATGCTCTCCTGGGTCAACCTCTGGCTGATCCAGGAGAACATATAGCCACCCCCTCCAGGGAAAAACCCGGGGTTTAATGGTCACGTGGGGCCTTTACCCTGGGAGAAACTGGGAAAAAATATCCCAGTTCCTCCTGGGATTAAGGCATTTCTGGAAAGGCCATAATACACAGGCTGAAAATCTCTTTAGATCTCAGACTGAGATGTTCTTGATAATAAAGCAACATGTGAGCCTGCTTGCATAAGCAGAGCTCCATACAGAGTTGTGCATAGTCTCATCTGACTTTGAACCTGCTGAATTTTTTTTGTCTTACTATCCCTGTCAGCTAATGGTAAGGGACAATAGGAGTTGAAGTCCAACAATATGTTTAGGACTATTCTTTCCTCACACTGGTATTACTGGATACTTACATTGCTTTGCCATCCCAACATTCAAACTGTTAGCTAAGCCCCTTTGCCTTCCTTTAGTTGGAATTCTATCACAGTGAGATCAGCAATGAAAGCACAACAAAACCAAGACTAGCAGATCTCCTGATTTCAATGGATCGCATTCTCTTGTAAGTGTACAAAAGTTTGCAGCTTTAAATATTCTATATGATTAAAGATGGCACACAAATATATTTGCTAAACAATGCTACCAATATTGACCCATATTATAATCTTCCACTAAGATGGTGTGAAAGTTACTTGTAAAACATGGTATAAATGAATACAATTAACAAATTGCTTACAGAATATTGGAAGACTCCATTCTCCAGTTACATGTAATCAGATTCTTAAAATGTTATTATTAACATTTTTTCTTTTCCTCACTTTCATATGGGATGAGTAAGGCATTTTCTGACCACACTGTCAGAGAAAGGAAAACCATGAAGACACAAAAGAAATAGAAAACCAGACTATATTGGGGGGGGGAAACAATATGTATACAAGAAAACACTGTACGTTCCATGGCAATTTCAATAAACAGGGTCTTTTTATAGTATCACATGTAAATTAATTTTAAAAAATTCTTTAGGAATATGCTGTGCAAACTTAGAAAATTTTGAAGAGAACATATTTTGATATTTTCATGGGAAAATATACTTAAATGAAAGGAAGTGCTGAAACATTTTCTTGTCCATAGTTCATTGCTAATTCAAAGTCTTTGTAGCTAATATGGCCATCAGAATCCTGATCGACTTCCCTATGAAAGAAAAACATTGTCAATACATCCAATTGAGAAAATATATACACTGTAGTCTATTTACATCAACCATTATTAATTTAGAATATTTACTGTACCTTATAAAATTGATAATCAAATTGACAACTACAGAAGGGAAATGTGGGAAGCTAAGGGGTGTACACTAGGCCACAAGAAGAGACCTTGAAGAATGGTAAACCCTTAATTTCTGTCCTGCAATGTCTTCAAGATGAGTAAAGGGGAAATTCCCATGTTCCCACTCCTGACCATTCAAGGCAGGGTCTGTTACCTTTTACAAATAAAAGTCATTTCCTGTTTCACAAAAAAAGTTTTATGGCATTCTATGGCAGCATAGATGGGGCCTGAAATAGCATAAGATTATGCTGTTACACCACTGTGAATAAAGTTACATTTCTTCTGCCTATTAAACTCTTCAACTGCTACAAAACCAAAGTAGGTCATCAACACTGCAGGATGACAGGTGAACCATTCCAGTGCCCTGCCTCTTTTAGCTCATCATGGTATTATACAAATGGAAAAGAATCATTACTGCTATATAGTCCCTTCAAATATTTTTATTAGACAACTACAAAATGAAAATAGAAAACCAATGTTTAATTCCCTCATTGGTTCATTAATCAGGTCCAACCTATCTTCGAGACTGCATCTCCTTCTACGAACCGGTGCGGGATCTGAGATCCGCCGGGGAGGCCCTCCTCTCGGTCCCGCCTCCATCCCAAGCATGGCTGGTGAGGGCGAGAGAGAGGGGGGGTCTTCTCAGTGGTGGCCCCCCAACTTTGAAATGTCCTCCCGAGTAAGATTAAGCTAGTCCCCACTCTCCAAGCCTTCTGTACACAATTGAAGACTTAGTTTTTCAGACAAGCCTTTGACCATGTTTAGGTATCTTTAATTAACATATTCTACTCCGCCTTGCACTTTATGAGACTGGTGTTGATTGCAGTTGTTTTATATCTGCAGCTATTGTTGCATTTTATTGATCTTAACGAGCGGGGGGGGGGTATGATGTTATGTTGGTTGTTATTGCCTTTGTGTTATCTTTGTGTTATTATATGTGCACTTCTTGTTCTCTGTGTGTTTGCACGTTTGAGTACTTTGTGAGCCACCCTGAGTCCCCTCGGGAGATAGTGGTGAGGTGATAGGCTTAAAATGACATCTAAATAAATAAAAATGTATTATCATCATCATCATCATCATAATCATCATCATCATCATCATCATCATAATTATCATCATCATCATCATCATCATCATCATCATCATCATCATCAGAAAGTGCCATATAGGACATTTATTTATTTATTTAGGATATTTATATCCCATCCTATCTCAACCCCCGCAGAGTGACTCAGGACAGCTAACAACAAAAAATAGGTATACATATAAAGTAAAAGCAGTATAAAACATTATAAAAACATTAAAACAATCACCAATTTAAGTCATCGTCCTAAGAGCAGTCCATCAGAATCCATTAAAACCATAGATTTCACTTTTTCCCGGAAAGTCAGGAGGGACGCAGCAGATCTGATTTCACTTGGGGGGAATTCCATAGCCGAGGGACCACCACAGAGAAGGCCCTGTCTCTTGCCCCCATCAACCGAGATTGCGATGGTGGTGCACAGTGAGAAGGGCCTCCCCAGACGATCTTAAGGTCCTAGGTGGTTCATTGTGGGATATACGTTTGGACAGATAAACTGGGCCAGAACCATTAAGGGCTTTATAAGAAATATTACATTGCAATATTCCCAAAAGGACACCTATTATTTCAATTAGTCTTATCATGGGGAATTTATTTTTATTTAGCTAAGTTCTCCATAATAACACTAAACAGAGTGTTATTTCTTTAACTGCAATAAACAATTCCAATGAAAAGTCTAGACACTGTCTCTAAAAATTCCACATCATTTCATTGAAGTACAAATGAAATCAAGTGTGTTTTCAAAACTGGGATAATTCTCATAATTGATAAAAGATTAACAATTAGGCCTTTGACTGAGCTATTGACATTTTCTCCCAAAACATATGACCATATTTAGCTGCTAACAGTTTCCTCATGCCCATTTAAACACAGATTATTTACCATGCTTTAACTACTTAGCGTATAGTTAAAAACCATGGTCAAAAGACAGGTGCTTTCTCATTATATACAAAAGCAATCAACGAGGTTCTCCATGAAGAAAAGCAACAATGGTTTGAATTTGTTTTATCTCGGAAAGAAGGAAAGTAAAGAAGGAGAGTAATGAAATAATATAAAAGTATGCATGTGAAAACTTCACCATATCCACATTCTGTAAGATATTCATAATTTCATGTATCTTTTTCATAATATTAGAACTTGTGGTCTTGCAAGCAACATGAATGGTGGTAGACTGAGCATAGAATGGAGACAGTCACAAAGCATGTAGTCAAACTATAGAGTAAATTATCACTAGGTATAGTGATAACAACCAGCTTGGGTAGATTTAAAAGAGGATTGGGAGCCCCCAGTGGCACAATGGTTAAACCCTTGTGCTGGCAGGACTGAAGACCAACAGGTCGGAGGTTCGAATCCAGGGAGAGCATGGATGAGCTCCCTCTGTCAGCTCCAACTCTCCATATGAGGACATAAGAGAAGCCTCCCACAAGGATGGTAAAACATCAAAACATCTGGGCCTCCTCTGGGTAATGTCCTTGCAGATGGACAATTCTCTCATATCAGAATTGACATGCAGTTTCTCAAGTCGTTCCTGACATGAAAAAAAGAGAGGAATAAACAGATTTGGAGAAAAAGAAGCTACCAATGGCTACCTGTCACAGTGACTACTAAAGTCTTGATAAACCAGTTGCAGAGGAACATAAGTGGGTAGGAACTACTGTGATAATATCCAATTTGGAGAGATTCTTATAAACATCTAACTAGCTGTTGTGGGCACCAGAAGGGAATAACGTAGGCTGTTGATCTAATTTTGTATGGTTCTTACAATTATTACTTTTCAGAACATTAAACAGATAGCATTTCTAATCCATAATGAAGCAGCAGAATCCAGGAAGAAGTGTTGCTGTCGAATTTTAAGACTGCATGTCTATGTATTAGTATTAGAATGGTTCTTTATATGACATTGCCCCCCCCCCTCAATACGGGACAGCAAAAAGTTACAAACAATATATTGAATATCATTCTTCTTGAGAATCTACTTACACTTTACATTGAGATTTAATTGTAAACCCCCAGAGAGGTTTCTAAACACAGAAGAGTGTATCTATGTGTGGGAAGGATTTTTCAGAAGACTTTAATTATCTAAGTGAATAAGAAGTTAATTTATATTCTTCGGCAAGTTATGTTGTGATACAAATTGCTTCTTCAGTTCTAATAAAAGATCAGACTTCTATGCTGAATGCTACAATAGATACATTTTTTACAGTAGAAAGTCACTGAATAGCAATCACATAGCTAACCAAGACTGCAAGGGCACAGTTATCCCAGACTACAAATTTATAATGTATTTACTTAGTCGAAATGGTACATTTTTAATCTATATGGACTTTTAAATAATTTCTTTTGTCTTAATCATAGTTGTCTCCCACAAAGAACAAATATACACCAAAAATCCACTTAACTGTACCAGTAGAACCAATCCAAAGAGCCAGTACACTAGTTTAAAAAGGTTTACCCTCGACATTAAGTCTAGTCATGTCTGATTCTGGGGAGTGGTGCTTGTCTCCATTTCTAAGCCAAAGAGCCAGCATTATCTGTAGATGCCTCCAAGGTCATGTGGCCAGCATGACTGTAGGGAGTGCCATTACCTTTCCACCGGAGTAGTACCTATTGATCTACCCACATTTGTATGTTTTCAAACTGCTAGTTTGGCAGAAGCTGGGGCTAACAGTGGGAGCTCATCCTGCTCCCCGGATTCAAACTGCCGACCTTTCGGGCAACAAGTTCAGCAGCTCAGTAGTTTCATCCATTGTGTCACCAGGGGCTCGGTACACTAGTACAGCCTTCTTATTTGTTGCCAAACTGCTGGTGTTTCGCACTGCAACTTCATGGAGCTTCTGGGGGGTGCAGTCCAGAAAGGTATCTGTTTCAAGTTCTGGCTAGCATCATGGTGCTTAACTTGTGAACCTTCTTGCAGTTTTGGTTTTTGAATGTTCTTTCTATATAGAAAGGTTAATTTTGTTCCTGAAAGAGTAGAAAATGTCTACAGGTATACCTTAGTTAGCAAAGCAGATATATTCCTGGACATCATTTCTTTAACATTAAATATGGGACCAGTAGTAGAAGTAACAGGAAAATAGGGGTAGGTTCCTATATTGTACACAAAAAGCAGTTTGACATATTTTAGCATACTTTTTATTCAAAATTAACTTTATGTATAGGTGAAATAAAACAGACAATTCAAGAAAAACAAAAATAGATAAACAAAAGCAGTTTGAAACCTTCCAGAGACCACCTAATTATTTCTTCCAAAATTTATCAAATGACAACTTTTTATTTTACTAGCCTCCAGTTTTCTTATGATTTTCTATTTTGGTGACCAAATTTATAAGTCTATGCTTTAAAAATGTAGAGCAGAGCTTTCCAAACTTTTCATGTTGATGACACACTTTTTAGTCATGTATCCTTTTGCAACACGGTAATTAAAGTTAAACCAATTTCATACTCTCTCTGTGTGTGCATATATATGTGTGTGTGTGTTTCATATAGTGTTTTTGTATAAATAAGCTTTGGAATTTTTTTCTTTACACTTACGTACTACAGTTGACTCTTGTGTAGTTTCCTTTATAGCCGCTCCACATGTTCATCACAAACATCAGTTAAACAATTTTCTTTTCTTGATTAAAAATTCATCCATTTTAGTGGTAATTACTGCAGCTCAATCAACAAATTGTGCACATTGTAAAAGTTTTAATAGTACATACACTGTAACAATGCCAGCACTCTACTTTTGTAGTGACTAAACCTCTCAAGAGGTTGTTAAACAGATGCTGGATAGCCATCCAGG